GGAGGGAGAAGGGTCAGCCCTGCAGGCCGCGGTCGGACAGGAGGCTGCGCTGCCCCCTGGCGGCCGCGGGGAGAAGGAGGACAGACACCTGCGCCCGTGCATTTTCAGGCTCAGGCAGGAACCTGAGCTCCGCAAACAGGCATTTGTTTCACTGGCTGCTCCCATCACAGGGGGAACCATCGCCCAAGATGTTCCCAGTGGCCTCTCGCCTCCTCTGGCTCCCACCGTGACTGTGGGAAGAGTGTGTGTGTGTGTGTGGGGGGGCGGTCACCAGGCAAGTGTTGGCTCTGGCAAGTTCCAACCCCCCCAGCCTCAGCGTCCCACCTGCGCCTCGGGGAGCACATGGGCTGGCAGGGTTCCTGGTGGCCAGTTAGGAACCACGGACAGCCCAGCCGGCGGGGCTCAGTGGCCGCCTGTCGTCCGGGAGGTCAGGGTTCGATGCCCGTTCAGGGCACATGCCCGGGTTGCGGGCTCGGTCCCCACCGGGGGGCGTGCGGGGAGCAGCCCATCAATGATTCTCTCTCATCATGGATGCTTGTCTCTCTCTCCTTCTCCCTTCCTCTCTGAAATCAATAAAATATATTTAAGCCCTGACCGGTTTGGCTCAGTGGATAGAGCGTCAGCCTGCGGACCAAAGGGTCCCGGGTTCGATTCCGGTCAAGGGCATGTACCTTGGTTGCGGGCACATCCCCAGTAGGGAGTGTGCAGGAGGCAGCTGATCAATGTTTCTCTCTCATCGATGTTTCTAACTCTCTATCCCTCTCCCTTCCTCTCTGTAAAAAATCAATAAAATATATTTAAAAAAAAAAAAGCACATCTGGGCTCACTTCGAGGTCGGCCTCCCCTGCTGAGTGACCGACCAGGCAGGTTCTCATTCTCCCTGAGCAGAGGGACCCCCTCATACCACGGGCTTCTGGGAACTGCTAAAGGCTGCACTTCCCCGCGGCCCAGGCGACGCTGGTGTGTGTGTGGGGGGAAGCGGTGACTGTCGGCCTGGGATTCGCTCGAAAGGACGCGATTCTGTGGTGAACCCGGGACACGTCTCCCCCGGAAGCCTTCGCTGTGGTGAGTCACCCGTGGGCAGCTATTCTGAGGTCCCCTCCCGGCACCACCGCCTCCCTCCTTCGCGCCGTGCGGACCCCGCAGCCCAGGAGGTCCCCCCCCCCACCAGGCCGCTCACCGAAGAGGCGCGTGGAGATCCGCCGCTGTGCGTACATGGTGAAGCCCTCGTTGAGCCAGAACTCGCTCCAGTTGGCGTTGGTGACCAGGTTCCCGAACCAGCTGTGCGAGATCTCGTGGATGATGACGTCGGCCAGCGAGCGGTCCCCCGCCAGCAGGCAGGGGGTGACGAAGGTCAGGCACGGGTTCTCCATGCCCCCGAAGGGGAAGGACGGCGGCATGAAGAGGACGTCGTACCTGGGGGACCGGGGGGTCGTGAGGCCCTGCTCCGGCCGGACCCCCCCTCCCTCCCCATCCCGGACACTGGACGGGCGCGAAGGAGGGGGCCGGGGCTCAGATGGCACCAGGCTCCTCAGTCCCATGTGCTCCCTGGGACTCCCTCTCCCCCCCCCCGTCTGCTCCCCAAAACTGTCCCCTGTTCTGCCTCCAAGCAGCACCCCAAGCTCACTGGTGGCCATGGAGCCATCACTCTAAGTATTTTTACTGATTTCATAGGTTGATGCTGAGCCACTGAGCCAGGCCGGCCGGGCTGTGTAAACTTTGCTAAGGAGCCCTGGGTGCAGGCAGCTTCCAGCAGGCGGGGGAGGGGGGGGGATGAGCTGGCAAAGGTCCCGACCTCCGAACTCCACGACCACCGGGCCCAGTTTTATCGCCTGGGGAACGGTCACGGGTCCCGCTCTGCACCAGGGACCAGGGTCTTGCTCACCCACCCCACCCCCACCCCACCCCGCTCACCTCTGGGACGGGGCGCTTTGCTCCAGGAGGCAGAGGGGGGCTGGGGAGCCAGGGACATGTCAGTCGACAGGAACCTCACCTGCCCCAAACGTAGGGTCCGAAGAGTTTCTCTCCTGCGGCCAGGAACTCCTCGATCACGCCGTCATACTCCTGCCTGGCAGCCTCGACCAGGCAGGGCTCGGCCCACACCCGGCTCCTAGGGACGGGCGAGCAGAGAGGCACCCGGGCTGTTCACAGACCTGCAGGGCCCGTCCCGAAAGCCCCCAGAGAGAACCCGCCTCAGCCTCACGTCTGAGCCAAAGGCAAGGGGCAGTGCTGCCAGGAGCCTGAGGCCGGGCCCACCGAGGGACGGACGGGGGACCGTGGGGCGTGTCGGCGCCTGGGAGAAGCCGGTGCGGCGGGCGGGCGAGGCTGCACCCAGGACATGGGGCCTCAGCTCTTGAGTGGGTTTGCCTTTTGCTTTAAAGGTCTGAGGGATGGGAGCTTATCAGGGGCTGGTAAAGATCAATCGTTAGCCCGGCCGGTGTGGCTCAGTGGTTGAGAGTCGACCTACGACCCAGGAGGTCAGGGTTCGCTTCCCGGTGAGGGCACATGCCCGGGTTGCGGGCTCCATCCCCAATAGGGAGCGTGCAGGAGGCAGCCGATCCATGATTCTCTCTCAATCACGGATGTTTCTCTCCCTCCCTCCTTCCCTCCCTCCCTCCCCCTTCCTCTCTGAAATCAACAGAAATATATTTTCTAAAAAAGGTCAACCTTCAGTCCTGCTGCCTGAGCCCCAACCGCACCCCCAGGTGACCCAGGTCAGCAGCTGCAACGGTGGGGCCGGTGGTGACCCCATGGCAGCCACAGAGTTGGAAATGGACGGAGGGAGACAGGAGGAGGCAGAGCAGGGCCTCCAGGTCACTCCGGCCGCACGGACACTGGGGACAGAGGGCTCAGGTGCCCCAGCTGCACCCACCTGGCAGCTCCAGGGCCCAGAAGCCTCCTTGCCTGGGGTCCAGCCAACGGGGGGGGGGGGGGGGGGGGGATGGGGTGTGGCTCCTACCTGGGCCCCACCTCCGCCGAGGCCAGGTCTCCGATGGCCAGCGCGACGAGGTAGGAGGGGATGGGGTGGCTCATGCGGAAGAAGAACCCGTGGGGCCCTCGCCGCTCCCAGGTGTCGGCACTCATCACCGCGGTGAAGCCGTCGGGGACCTGAGGGGAGGGCGGAGGGGCCTTCGCTGCCGGGCCTGGCGAGCAGCAGGACCAGCCACCTGCATAGGGACCACAGAGTCCTCCCAGCCCCCAGCTTGCCCTAAACTGAGGGGATTTAGCCCGGCCGGTGTGGCTCAGTGGTTGAGCGTCGACCTATGAACCAGGAGGTCAGGGTTCCATTCCCGGTCAGGGCACGTGCCCGGGCTGCGGGTTTGATCCCCGGGTGGGGGAAGGGCGTGCAGGAGGCAGCCAATCCATGATGCTCTCTCATCATGGATGTCTCTCTCTCTCTCTCCCTCTCTGAAATCAATACCAATAGATTTAAACCGAGGGGATTGAGCAGAGGCAAATGAGGTTCCTGAAGGCGGCGGGAATCTTTCCTGGACGGATCATGCACGGTCCCCGGGCGGGTCCCGGGGCCGCCCCTTACCTGGATGAGGGCGGAGTACGTGCACTTGACCGCAGGCGTGTCAAAGCAGGGGAAGAAGGCCCGGTTCAGGACGGCCTGCCCCTGGGTGTACACAAAGGGCTTCTCCTTTCCTGCCGTCTGCTCGGGGGCCAACCAGCACACCTAAGGGACAGGCATTTCAGAGCTGGCCCCCCGCCCCCCACGAGCTCAGCCCCGACAGGGAGGAGGGCGGGGAGGGAGCAGTCCCAGGCCATCCCCACTCTCGGTGCCACCCAGAGACTGAGGGCTCTGACTGGGACGATCTCTCCTCCTGAGAGTCCCACCCACCCTGGCACCCAGGCCAAGGCGCAGCATCCACTTCACAGGGCCCCATGGGTCCCCTCGAATCCCAGACCGGGTCTCGGACCCTGTCACCCTGTCTTCCTCCCGCCTCCTTCTCACCAAAAAAATAAAACCGCCCTGGCCGGTGTGGCTCAGTGGATAGAGCGCCAGCCTGCGGACCAAAGGGACCCGGGGTTTGATTCCCGTCAAGGGCACAGGCCCGGGTTGTGGGCTCGGTCCCCAGTGGGGGGCGTGCAGGAGGCAGCCGACCCATGATTCTCTCTCATCATCGATGTTTCTATCCCTCTCTCTCCTTCTCCCTTCCTCTCTGAAATCAATCAAAGTATATATATTTTTTAAAGTATCCTTAAAAAAAAAAAAAGAAAAACGATCACCGGAAACCCTCACCTGCAGCAAGAAGTCAGTCCCCGTGAATCTCAGCCAGAGCCATGGGGGCGGGGAGGGGGGGGAGGCGGGCACGCGGCACCCAAGGCCACGGAGATTTCAGAAAAGGACAGAGTTCCAGGAAGTGTCAAGAGAAAGCGAAACTTTGTGGATGGGCCTCCGGCGCCAGCAGGATTTGGAGGGTGGAGGGGAAGGAAGGGGGTGCTGGGGGTGCACCGTGCTGGAAGGCGTGGGAGGATGGGGGCTCTGTGACCTGGAGGTGGGCTCTGGCCGAGGTGGGCGCCTACCTGGGCAGGTGCAAAGGGGGCTCTGAACACAGAGGCACTGGGGACCTACGTTAAAGAGACACAGGAACACCCCACGGGCACGCTGGGTGTTTGTTGTGTGTGTGTGTGTGTGTGTGTGTGTGTGTGTGTGTGTGTGTGAATTTTAACGAGAGCCCAGCAGCCCTGCTTCAGCCAGGTGACCGGGTCAGCACCCAACAGCCACATTCACGCCGACACCACGCACCCTCAGTATGATGGGACAACGCGGCCCTTCAGACCTGGTGAAATCCCACTTGATTTTGCCGTAAACCTACCACGACTGTCAAAAATAAAGTCTATTTTTTTTTAACCAAAATCCCACAACCCCAGTCTAGTGATGAGAAAAACATTAGGCAAATCCCAGCAGAGGGGCAGCCTACCATACACCTGACCAGTACCCCGCAACACTGTCAAGGTCACCAAAACCAGGCAAGTCTGGGAAATGCTCCCAGGCAAGGGCAGCTTAAGGAGCGAGGGCAGCTCAATACGCTGGACACTAAGTAACAAATCAGGAAGCCGGACCAAACTGCAGCCTCAGCGAATACAATGTCTCCCCATGGAGCTAATACAATGTATCCGCACGGAGAGAATACAATGTATCCGCACGGAGCTCTGGCCGCAACAAATGTATCTCAGTTTAAAAGGCTCCCGGGTGGAACTGTGTGTGTGG